ACATTTAAGATCAAAAGTGAAAGTTATTTTAAATTTTTTTATTAACTTACTTGTATTCTAAATGTTTAAATTTCATAAACAATTATATAGTTTAATATAATGCTTTGTTTCAGTAGATAACACTAATTTCTACAAACTGTAGAATATTAAATATAAAATGTGTCCAGTATGGCGCAAATGCATAATTTGATTATTTTTCGACGCTGTCGTCGGGGTGCGTGAGAGTTATCCGAAATAACTGCATGCCCCTACGATTGCGTCACCACTGGTGAGCAAGCATTTGTTTGTTGTTTAGTTGTGTTGAAAGGGACCATTACTTGATTAATTCATCCATTCGGATTTTAATAACGATGAGCTATGATATATATACCGTTCATCTAAGATTATTGGATCAATTTTATTATATGATAAGATTTTATAAACCAACTTGGCACACAAAAGATTATAATGCGGAGGTTGGCTGGCTCTTTTATAATAAATACGACACTCCAATTTACAGAATGCTTGTTATAGAATAAAACAAATAAATATTATCAGACTATACTTACCTGAGGACCCCAGGCTTTAATGTTGGTAAACAACGAATAGAGATTAGGCGGAATGACAGGCTGAGCGCGGCCCAGTAAGACTATACATGCAGCATGAGTAACTGGTGGATAAGCCCTCGGTAAAAACGGATCCGGAAAAGTCATTGTGGCACTCGGGTCCTTGGTATTGTCGTCGGTATATTGTCCATTACCTACGTTCTGCTTTCATAGTTTAAACAATAGTGAGTTCTAAACATAAATATAACAGATTTAAACCGACTAAGTATGAATGAATGAAATACCTGACAATCTACACTCCTATAAAAATTAAAAAAGCAAGCATGAGTAACTCGTAGTGATGTATGATTTCTAAAAACTTTAAATTAAATTTGGCGCTCACAGGTCCTCATGATCATGTGATCGCCGCATGAGGTTCTGTAAATGCGCAGGGCACCTTCGAGCTTATATTATTCACCTTACTGAGGCAGTCAACCAACGCGCGGCTTTATTTTTATGATATGATATGTTTTGATTGTTATTAATAAATACCAAAATTTAAATTTGTTTTCCTAAAATTTGTTTTCCTTCACGTTGTAACCCTGCCGCGTGCACGTCGCATGAGTGCGCGGCTTTGTCATTGTCGCTTTCGCCACAATTCACCTCGTGCAATTACAGGGGGTTACAATGTACAACGTGACACAAATAATCTTACGTTGGCATAACAACATTTTTGTTTTGCATGTTCTGAGACCAGAAATGAGACAGTACTCGACTAAAACGGCTGGCACAAGATCAAGAAACCAGTTGCCTGTAAATGCGGCAGCTACTTTGTTGTGTTCGGTCAGTATCTTTGTCTATCTCTTCACCTAAGAGTATCCCAGGAACCCTGACCGGATGGGGCTTAACTTTGAAAGTAAAAGAGTTGGAGACTTCCGGTTTTTTGTAACATGTTTCTCTTTTAAAAGGAACGTTACCTCTCCAGGAGGAAAATTCAAGACAACGTAATTGTTGAGTTATATCAAAATCTCCAGAAAAGTCCCCTTTCGGGCCGATCAAAAGTTTGCAACTTTAACTTTGCGGATTCCTGTACTCTGGTTGGCTGAATTGTGTCACGTGGTAGCTGCCTGAACATTGGAATACGCCACGCGTGCAAATCGAATGCTTGTTGTCGCGCGCGAGGTCAAGCCGTCTGTTTAAATTAAACCAACTCTAGTACCACCACCAGCCGGTAACTTTTCGTGGGATCTTGTCTTTGACAAAGTAGTCCTTCAGGGCAATCAGTTCCGGGTCTCTACTCTTCATCACATAGGTGGTGAGTGCATTCTCCTCTCTCTTTACGACTTCCTCTATACTATGAAGCCCACGGCCACCAAGTTGACGGCTGACGTATAGCCGATCGATCACGGGCACAAAGAAGCACTACTAGCAATTGTGTCCTTTACCCTCCTACATAATTTGAACATTTTTGTGGCTAACTCATTGAACAACATCTGAATTAAAATGTGTCTAGTATTAAAAGATTCAGTAAGTAATTTTTTCATGTACGCTGTACACTGTAGTTAGTAAATCAAATCAAACTTTTTCGATCAGCCGCGCGCTGAACCAGTGTTGCATTAGGTAAAAATTGTGTATATTTTGTATTAATTTATCACAAATTATTTTATTATAATATAACCACTTATGTGAAATGGTTATTTTGACTTTAAATATTTGAACTAAATATGAATTGATTGTGGGTATAAAATAAAATTTGTTTTAAAAATTTGTTTTACTATCTCCTTGGGGATGATGAGCTCCATTTATCCTCATTAGTTTCCGGGTCTTGCCGTCCAAGGCTTTGATTTCTCCAGCGTTCCAAGAAAGAATTCCAGCTCCATATCTTATCACAGGTACAGCCCAGGTGTTAATTGCTTGTATACTATTCCTACCATGAAGCTGGGATTTTAACACCTTTTTGACTCTTCTGATATACTCCTTTGTGACAAGTGCTTTCATCTTATTATTTTTTCCATTTGTGTCACTTAGAATCACCTTTTGAATGTTAATCGACACCACTGGTCCTAGTTAAATTTAGCCATGGCACGACTACTCGAACGTAACAGTTAAATAGGTGTGACATACTATTATATTCTTATAATTATATCATATGAATTGATTGCACTGCTAATAAATAAAATACTTTGTTTTACTAAAATACTTCGTTTTACTTCTTATTATTAGTATTTGTTTTTATTGCATCAAAAAATATTGATCACAACCGAAGATACAGCCCATTAGAATGTAACTCTGAACACATCATAATAACATAATATATTTTAATATAAATTTGTGTATACGTATAGAAAATAAATTATTTATTTTAATCATTAAACTTTCATTCATGTTGCAAAATTTTATAATTGAATGCAATTCAATTTTCCCTCAAATTGTGCGGTAAATCTTCTTCTTCGTAGGGGGCAGTGGTCTTTACTACTAAGGAATAGATCAAAACCACTATAAGATAGAGCATTGAAGCCCTGTGCTTACCCCGGTAAAGTTAATCTGTGAAGAAAGCAAGGTTAAGCCTTGTCCTCTCCACATTTGGTAACAGGTTTTGTTGCTTGTATGAAGCCGATGATCCTTGGTAATGAGAACTTGTCCACTATATCTGTCACAGTGAGGTAGAAGGAGTCAAAGTATCCTCCTCGCTGGTAAGACCATTTCGGGCACTGACCAATAAAGTGGTTCATTGTCTCCTCTTCCATGAGACAGTGTGGACAAGTTTTAGGGACCGTTGTCGGCTTGTACTTGGTAAATCATTCTTTATCATGTGGATTTATTTATAACGATCTTATGACCTTCTATAAAATAGTGAATAGCATAATCCCAGTTTCGCTTTCTACTTATATAGTCCTATGCCGTCCAGAGGGCACCCGATACACTAGGCACAATGCTCAAATAATTGATATGTCGGATACTTCAACTTACATGAGTACCACTGTACCCTGCTCGGATGCCTTCCGAAATAGCTTCTTTCATAGATTTATGCTGAAATGGAATAGTCTACCAGTATGTATCCGGCAGTCAGAGCGGATTTATACTTTTAAGGTCAATCTGATCAAGCACCTCTGGGCTGCCGATACAGTCTGGCCAGACTAGTCTCAGAAATGTGTTTTTGTTGGTTACAATTCTGTCCGTCCAATTTCCTATCTGCTTGTCCTTCTTTTTTCTTCTATCAGTTGTGACGGAATTGTAATGAACAAAATCCATATATAATTATTTATGATATGTTTGATTTCTTGTTATTGTATGTCATTCAAATTTGGTAGACGGCCCCAACGTTAATGTGGCTTTTGCTATGTGTTGGTTCAGCCGAATTAATTATTATGTAATCAAGTTTATTTTTTCTTTTAGTTAGTTGTCATCCGGCCAGACATTAAGTAACTTATATTGCAGCACCATTTTTCAATTAGAATATTAAAATATGTTATTGTAATTTTGCATGGCTGAAATGTAACGCTTGATTTGTATATATATGATAATTAATTGAATTTTCAAAAAAAAAAAAAACTTGTCCACTATATCTGTCACACTGAGGTAGAAGGAGTCAAAGTATCCTCCTCGCTGGTAAGACCATTTCGGGCACTGACCAATAAAGTGGTTCATTGTCTCCTCTTCCATGAGACAGTGTGGACAAGTTTTAGGGACCGTTGTCGGCTTGTACTTGGTAAATCATGCTTTATCATGTGGATCCATAGTTGGTCAGTGCGCACTGTACAAATTTTAAAAAGCTGTCGAGGAATTTTTACCGAATTTTAAGAAAAAAGTTTTGTTTTTTAATCACTTCAGTCCGAAAAATTCAAACCTCAAGCTGTTAAATCAGATTTCTGAGTCGGACACTACAAGTTTAGGTGATAATGATAGCAAAGTTGATGTGACTTATTACATGTGCATTGATTTCCTTAATAAAGTTGAGAAGTGATTTTCATGCTTACTAATGCTTCAGTTATACAATCTTAAATTTGATCCTTCGAACAGCTGTTGAGCAATGAAACGCAAACATAATCTTAGCAAAATGAATATATTTCTTTTATCTTCAGCATTTAATCAGTCACATAATCTGAGAATATCAATGGTTAGTTTGAGAATGTCAAAAATTCTCATCAAAAATGTAGTAAAGTCTCAAAAAATTAATTTAGCATCTCAGTTATACAATTTAGCATCTCAGTTATACAATTTGTATTATTGGTCAAAACACAAAACTTAAACCCCTCATATTTCAAATTATAGGATTTTTGGAATTAGCTTTTCGAAAATTTATGAGGCGAATTTTTCCCGAACTAATCCCGAACTGAAAAAAGGTGCCGAACTGTACGAATTTTTTACGACTTTTGTACAAACTGACTCATAATGCTTTCTTGTTATCAATCTATGACCCATTTCTCTTCAATCGATTTTTATGTAATCCATGTTAATAAATACTAATCAACATATTATGAAGGTCAGTTAGATCTATGCCAAAATCCAAGAGGAAGATTGGAAAGCCCTACTCGGTGTGATCTATGTGAGTACAGATGTAAAACGTCAAGTCATTTGAAAAGCCATGAACGAACACACTCTGGATTAAAGCCCTTTCCCTGTGAGTATTGTGATTACTCTGCAGCTTTTGCTGGTCATCTCAGGATGCATATTCGTAGAATACACACTGGTGAGCGTCCATTTCAGTGTCAAGACTGTGAGGTGGCAACCTTCACAAAATGTGAATTAACTAATCACTATCGACTCAAACACTCTGGTGAACGTCCTTTTGCTTGCAAATTGTGTAGTTTTAAAACTGTTGCCAAAAGTGGACTTATTCAGCACATGTTAGTTCATGCTGAAAGAAATCATGCATGTGACGAGTGTGATTATAAGTCGAACTCAAAGTCTACTTTAGCAAAGCACATGTTAACACATGGTGAGCGAACTTTAATTGAGTGTAGTAAGTGCGATCACAAAGCCAAAAATGCTCGTCTTTTGAAAAGCCATGAATTAACTCACGGAAAACGTACCCGTAACCTGGTCTGCTGTTTTTGCAAGTATAGGACTCATTTGAGAAAATATCTAGAAAATCATATAAGACAGATTCACACAGATGAAAGGCCCTACAAATGTGACCTATGTAGTTATGCTGCCAAGCAATCTAACACCCTCACACGACATCGTGCTACTCATTTTGATGACCGTCCTTTTGTGTGCACGGAATGTGATTATGCATCAAAGACAAAGAAGTGTTTGACAATGCACATGCTCACACATACAAATGAAAAGCCGCATCAGTGTGACCAATGCGATTTCGCAACAGCACAATTAGGTAATCTAACAGCTCATATCAGGGCTGTACACACCAGAGAAAAGCCATTTAAATGTGATTTTTGTGACCAAAGATTTACAGAGAAGTCGTACCTTAAAAAGCATAGAAGAACTCACACAGGTGAAAAACCATATAGCTGTACTATGTGTGACTATGCTGCTACACAAAAGGGAGCCCTAGACAGCCATTTCCGTGCAAAGCACACCAACGAAAAGCCTTTCACCTGTTCCAAATGTGATTATAAGGCAGCAAGTCAAAGCTCAATTGCAACACACATGCGGTTTCACACTCAAAAGCGAGAGTATAAATGTGACAAATGTGACTTGGCCTTTAATACATCCTCTAACCTTATCGCACATGCAGTGGTTCATTCTGAAACACAGCCCCACGAATGTTCTTCCTGTGATTTTAAAACTGCTCACAAACGTGTTCTTCGTCGTCATATGATGATCCATACAGGAGAAACCCCTTACTGTTGCGATTTATGTGATTTCAAGGCTAACAGATCGGATAAGATTGGTGCCCACATCAAGAAAGTACACTCAAAATAATCAACTAATCAAGGTCAAGTACAAAGATCCCATGTTTTAGTATGATTTTTCTTTGCAAGTTCCAGCCTAGCCTCAATATTACGGCTGGTGTAATTAGTAGATGAGGTTTGAAGATCAATTAGCTAAATTTGAAATAATAAACTACTAGCTAACAGTTTATATAATAAACATTTTAGTGATTTTTAGGGGTTTCTTTTACATTATTAAACTGCACAACAATAATATAATGGATGTGGGCCCCACAATGTGGCTCATTGTTAAAGGCAATTGGCAATTTGAGTTTCATGTTTTGTTCAAATTTTCAGCGAATTGACCTAAAATTGCACGAAAACATATTAGTATTTTATAACAGCCCTAATCTCACCACTTTTATATTTAACTTGATTGAACATAATGTTTTGTATTTAATTTGTTACCATATTAATATTATGTTATTGTAACTATGTTTGACTTGTGTGCAGGTTTGGTTCACGTGACTCCAATAAGTATAAAATTGAATGTACAATATGAAAACTGAACAGTGAAAGCAAACCGGGCCTAGAAGCGAACCGACTCTGCACAAAGGTTTAACAACGTTATCATATAAATCTGTAAATCAGCACTGTATATTAAATTATTATTTGAATTATTATTTATATTGGCAGTAATTATATATATAATAGTGCTATTTATGAGTCGCCAAGGCCCAAGGATATAATATTCGACCATTAATAAATTATATTAAAAAAAAGATGTAAACTTTCTGAGAAATTTTCCCATTTTACGTTGTTTTACTATAATGCTAAGTCGCACAGTACACTAGACTATGACTGAGTTAGTACCTCACTTGTACTTCATGCGTCATGTGTTGTGTAGTACCAAAATGTTTCAGTGCATATCATTACCACTAATATAATGACCTTTTGAAACGTTGTGTCCATGTGAATTGTGAGTCGTAGGTATACACTGAAACAGTTTTAAGTACTAAATTTTCCCTACAATAGGATTATAGGATGGCATTTGGCTGCGACCATTGTGGCAGGCAGTGTGGTAATCATTACAACTTAACCCTTCATGGAAACACCTGTAAAAAGAAGCCAAAACCTGCCCCCATAACAACCAGTGGTACATTACATGATACTCTTAGTTTACATGATACTCTTTGTTTACATGAATCATGACACTCTTTGTTTAATTGTTTACATTAAATGAGCTGTTTAAAGCAATTTCTGGGTGGGTATCTTATTTTATATACCAAGAAACAGTTAATTTTTAGTTAGTACCGCAAAGGGGTGGCTGTCTTACGTATTATCAACAAAAAACAGTTAGTAAAGGGGGTGCAGGTGGGTGGGTCTATCCCCCCCCCCCGAGTCAACTGTGATACATGCTACATAACCTCACAAAGTTTTAATTTCAGAGCTGGAGCTGTGTAATGTGAAGGAAAACAAAATTGCAATTCCCATGGACAGGTTGTTAAATACGATACACTCATGTCACAGGATTGGAAAGAAGTGCTTATCAGTAAAGGATACCATCACCAATGTAATTCATTTATAAATAACTTATTTAGGATAATTAATAGAAAGGGAGGTAGATGCATTAATTACTCAACTTTTGGTCAAATGAGCATAAAAAGTGAATGATTGCGTTGCTTAACCCATACTGAATCCTGTACTAAGTTTGGGTAGGAGTTCTTGGGACAACGCATGCAATTAAACGTTATTAAAGTTAGCAATAAGCATGCATTGATTTTTAATTTTCCAAGCATTACTCATTTAATTATCATAATAATAATAATATGATAATTATAAAGTTACTTTTTCAAGCCTTTTCTAGTTAACCGCGAAATATGAGATCAACTACAACCAAAAAAGCACTGTCATCTTAAGTTTAGTAAGCTCTGCTGTCAAGACCTGTCCTTTCTGTTGCAAAAAGCGTTAGTACTCCTGGGATATACTATTGACTGCAATGCCCTCAGATTTTCTTAACTTTAACTTTTGCTATTTTCTGATGAGCCATTTCTTTCAGATTTCTTGATTCGAAGATATTCAGACTTCAGAGTTATATCTTACATAATACAATAGTATTCATTTTTGAAAAGTTTTAATTTGAAAAGTTTTAATTTTCCACAGAGTTCAAGCACGAGAAGCCAGTTCTGATTCGTTGGAGTAACGGACTGTTGTACAAAGGCTATGTGCTCTCCAGACAAGGCAGATTGTGCTATGTTGAGCTTGACAACTTCAACACGGCTGTTCTGGATTGCAAGGTCACAGATTTTTCAGTGCTTGAGTGGAATTGTAATTAATATCGGTGAAATTTAGCTCTATTATAATATCGTAGTAGTAGGTATTGACCTATTTTAGTATATTTTTACATTCTCATTTCTCAACGAACAGCTTGTTATATATACCATTAATATTGTGACAGGACGTGTTTGACGAATTCGAGCATGAAGTAATGTGTACTGTGTGTAAGTCTGGTTCATCAGAGCCTCCCAACGAAATTGTTCTTTGTGACTGCTGCAACTCTGGGTATCATCAGGCAAGTGGTTTTATAAAAACCACACTATGACGAAGGTGTTAAATATTTAATTACATAATTGGGACATTTGCCCCACGATATGGGGAATGACTGAAACCAAGATGCTCTGTCACATTTTGTTATTGGAATTTAGTGTTTACACACAAACTGCATTGATTATTTTGCATTCCATGCGCATATAATTGAACATAATGTTTTTTTTTTCAAATTCAGAAGTGTCACAAGCCAGTAATAACCGAAGACATTCTGTGCCTTGACGAAGACTGGTTTTGTGCGAGATGTGAACGAACCAAGACTGGTCACGTGACTGTCAGTGGTGGTTCAGCAGAGGAGCCGCAGTATACTCTTTCTACTTTAGCCTGTATGGCACTGCTTTGTCTGGGACCCTCCACACGATCTACTGTTCGCTCATGGATACAGGTGTGTAAAATTACAATTTTTAGATGCACTTATTTGATTTAGTGATTTCTTCTAAATTACCAATTATACCTGTATTATAATACAGGGTGAGTTGAAATTTGCATTATATTTAGGTCATTGACAGCCTTCTAAAAATCGTCAAAAAATCAGGTCCAAAATTTTCAAACGTCTTGGAATGTTGCCATAAATCAACCAAATTATGAGATAGGATCAAATGAGAATCAGAATGAAAATAATAACGTTGCGTTTGTGAATTGATAGCAGCTCATCTTTCAAAATAATATGCCCCTCCATAAAAATATTTATAATTTTTTTAAATCCAAACATTATTTTAAACTCACCCTGGCCCTGTAGTTGAACTACTGTATAATACTCCTAAATACAGCCTAAATTACCAATTAATTAGTAATTACCTGGCTAGAAGGCAATACAGGTAATGTTGATCTGTTGATCTTTAATTTGATGAATATAAATAAAATCTTGTCTGAAGAGTCGAACAATTAATATGATAGTTAGTTCACTGTTCAACTGTCGCTGACAAATCAATTAGCGTGTTATGATACATCATTGGAGGTTTACTCTGTCAAAATTCCAAAATAATACCAAAGCAAATAGATATATTGTATGAATGTATACAAAACTGTCAATGTTGTAAAGACTACCTAATTGCTATAATTGTCTGAATTCTAAATAGATCTCCACCTGATTATAACTTAATCGGAATTTTCAGATTCTGATATTCTTTGAGTTTGAAGTTCTATTTCATCTACTGTCTCAACGGCCGCTGCCTCCCCTCTGATGTTGAATGCCTCAAAAAACGATGCCAACGTTGGATTAACTGCATTAGAAAATCTGCGGGAAATTTTGCACTGACACAAAATGTTACTCAATGCTGCTGTCCCGTGAGATATCCAGTCCACAATATTGTTTTGATAGAGGAGTGGGTTTAGGATACAGTTGATGGGAAGTAGAATTGTGGAACAAAATAGATAAAGATCAGTCCCATCTACGATTTCCAAGTAATGAAGCAGCGCAATGGTTATGAAAGGGACCCAGCATGCAAAATCTGTCGCAATTATCATAGCAATCTTCCTCTGTAATTTTCTGGTTTTATCTTTACCTTTTGAACTCGAAATATGCGATGATTTGGCTGAAATGAAATTAACGAGAGTGTAACAACCGGCTATAACAGCGAAACAGATGAAATTTATTCCAAGCAACCCCCACGAGTAGGCTAGCTGAGGATCATTGTGCTTGACAAAGAATTTGAACACACAAACTGGAGCATTTCCATAAAACCCCCAGTTCCTCCCTGTAATACCGCCATGATCCGCTGTAAACATTTCTCCTATCAAATCCCTGATAGTTTTCCAGTTTAATTTCACCCTCGATTTACTTGAAGGTGAACGAAACCTGCCATAGTAAGCTTCCAGTATATCCATGTGTTTCAACTTATCTGGAACACCCACGAATAGTGGATTGGAAGTTCCATAGTATAGGCCATTCAGAAAAAAATCCTCAAATATCGTGAACAGAGGTATTGTTGATATTAAGATGGATATGATGAGCACTGAACCAATAATTATTGAAGATGTCAAGTAGTCCTGCCTTGTGACCCCTACTGATGGCCTCCTTCTCTGGACAACAACAGCTCTAAACACACTCAAAACTGTCATCGCAAACAGTGACAGCTGCATTCCGATGGTATTTAAAACTCCCAGTGAGGAACAGCCCTTACTGATTAACCACTCATATCTCTCACGACAGAAACTATCTTTATACCTCATGTCTATGACAGCAATCGAAAACAAATAAATTCCTATCAAGAAATCTCCAACCGCAATAACTGTAAGCAAGGAATTGCTGATGAACGCTGTGCCAGATTTACATGCCTCCAAATCCCGTATATTCAGTGCTATCACTATACCATTTACTGTCATGGCAGTCAAACCTGCAGCCCAAGCAAAAACACGAAGTCCCAAAGTTGGGATGATACGAAGACCACAGTCAACACATTCATCTGATGCGTCTCTACAGTGGATCTCACCGTCGCACTTTTTAGAAATCGGTATGAGCTCTCCACTGGCGCACGTGTAATGGTTCTTGCAGTGGATTTCGTCAGAGTTGTCTCCGCAATCGTTTGCTAAGTTACAAACTCTATCGAGCGATACACACATACCGTTGTCACAGGGAAACAGTCTTTCGTTCACTGAAACCAAACTCGGATTTTCTCTTGACCATGACCAAGAAGGTATTGTCTTTGGAAACGGTAAATATCCTGTGACGAATATTTAAACAGGAGGAATGCGACAACGGTTTAAGTGGACAGGACACAACCTGATTTGGACACTGGTCCATACAACTCATGTAAACGTATTGCTCGCCGTACAAAAAGAGGCATGAACTCCCCGAAATTAACTTACTGGGAAAATTTAACTTCTCATAAAGAAGTCCGTAACCTTTGGGGAAAAAATTGAATTCTTCAATGCACAGTCGTACCCTGAAATCCGTGTTAGATCAAATAAACCAGGCAGGCACTGGACGAGAAGTTTCGTTCCAATAGATTTCCTTACTGGAGCTACGGATGCAGAGGGAACATCTTCCGACTCCCGTGATCGTGATTTTTCGCAGACTCTTTCTTCATTTTCACAAGATGAAACAGCATCACATAGATGCCTTAAGTCAATCAATTTTGTATTATTGTTTCCGCGGTCACATCTATATAATTCCTCACACTGATTTTCTTTTTCTATACATCTCAGCTTTGTCCACGGACTCCCACATTGCTTCCAGTGCGATATTTCCTCGTCTATCCCATTTCGACAGTCAACAACTCCATCGCACAACCAGTCAGCTGGAATCCTTTTGGGGACAGCTTCACCGTAGTTAACAGTTCGGACACATGTAACGTTCTCTTTAACAAGATTATCACAAATAGTCTGCAATTCGTCACCCCTGTGTGGACAGTCACTGATGTCATCGCAGAGCGTGTGTTTGTGGGTGGTACAATCTATTTCAGCCTCTCCACAAAGCTCATCCAAGCCATCGTCACAGATTGGGAAGCCCCTACATAGACCAAGTTTTGTTATTGATGTTTGGTAACCGTCTACTTTACACGTCAAAGCATGTGTGGCACTGGTACAGTTTAGTTGATCTCTGCCGTCTATACAGGGCGACACAAGGGGCGAGATATTTGGGCTGCACATCTGACTTGCCACCAAAAATCTACTCGACAATTCCCCGGAATTTTCATGATCCAATCTGCCTCGCCTCCATTGACACCACCCGACCGTTTTATCACAACCTGCTTCGTCAATGTCATCTTACATCGAAAGTCTCGACCTTCATTTCTGTCGCAGATAAATGTTGGTGGAAGCCAAATTTTGATACTAGGATAGCTTCTTGAGAAGCAGTCCATTCCGTATTCGTGATTACAGTTTACCTCATCATCTGCAAAATCTGGCAAGCAGTCCACTGTTCCATCACATCTTTTCTTATCTGGAATCATTTTACCAGATTTGACACATTTATGGTTTGAATCGGCAGTATCGCAAAACCTCTCGTCAAATCCTGGGTTATCTGTATTGAAACAGTTATCATGTCCATTACAATCAAAGTACCAGGAAACTGATTTCCCACTGATGGAATGAATTTTATCAGTTCCAGAAGAGCGGTAAGTACACACATGTAGCCCACACAACGTGTTTCCTCCAAACAGGTACTGGTTCTGACACTCTCGGTGGACAGAACCACAGGCTTGATAAAAGTATGGGTCATGGGTGCATGGATTAGAGTATTCCTGGCTAAGGCAGGTGCCATAAGAATAATGTTTGATCGAGTAAGTCGTGTTTGAGCCCCAGCATTGGAAGTGATCATCTGGTGTCCTCTGCTTTAAAAAGCCGTTAACTTCAACAATTTTAACGCCTGAAAACATTTTCAAAGATTATTGAAATAATAAAGATATAATATTCTCTGCAAAAACAGAGAATATTATTATATATCATTATGGCCTGAATATTATATATTATGGCCTGTTCTGGTTATAAATCTGCGTAAACCTAAATTTAATTTAGTTGACAATTTTTCATTGCATTTGTGCTCTTTTATTGATTAATTATGATTCCCTCTTACCTACTCAGTATGAGTTTTTAACCGGAAGACTTTCCCTGAATTACAGAAAACAGGGCTGTTACCAACCAATTACCAATTGTCAATCCAACAACTATAATAAGAAAATAATAATATAGACCCTGACTCACCTTCTACATGATCATGGTTTTCTGCTTCTTCACGCGATCCGGCTACATTTATTAAGCCAAGCAATAATACGACATAAAGTGTCATCATTTACCAAACGATAAACTTAGTCCCAATAACAAGAGCAAATAAAGAAATAATACGTATTGACGGTCCAAAATAACGGCTACTAACTATAGAGCTGTTCCGTAGCTTGATAACAAGGCGAGGCCAACAGCTGCTGGGTTTGGCTATTGTGTGTCGACATGTTTATTATAGTAAGAATAGTTGAATCAAACTCAACGCTATAGGTGATAGATTGGACATCTGCTTCATCATCAAACTTAGCATTCGTGTTAAAATTCAATCGGTTTTTAAACTTATTATCGAAGGACACCAAAAGACATATCATATGACCTCGTTATTTTCTGTTATTCGTTGATTATATGGGACTCACGTGGAAAAATTCTTTAAATTTCAGTAACTATGTAACTAATAGCTCTATCGAGACAAGAGTCACCGGACTTCTGCGCCAGATGCACATCAAGAACATTTCACCAGTTACCTTGCTCAATCATGTGTGGTAACAAGTTGCTTAATAAAAATAGATTCCGATATTGTTCAGACCGGTTTACGAAGCGGTAAATTGAGCTATGATTTGAAGTTGACGGTTTACAATAATTGTGAGAATATGATAATTCGAATTAAGGTTTTTATCTTTTTGATTATATTTTGAAACACTGCTAGCTGAAATTGAGTTGTTGTAAAGCATAAAATAACTTAGTCTATAATTTTAGAATCAGATGATTATAACTATCCAGCAATCAACAATCAATTATTATCATAAAACAGAATAATTTACTACTAGTCTCTATTCTTAAATTTGACTGATACAGAAAATGTGAAGATACACAAAGCAGTTTTTAACCCTGAAACGAGAATAATTAGATCATAATATTGTAATCAATCATCATTACAGACAGCAATTAGCAACATTAATTATTGTACATAGCAGCGAAAATTTATAATTGAAAGCATACAGTTAACATTAATTTGCAATAACAACAAATAATCCCAAACATTTATAAAATAAAACTCTAATAAAGTTATCTACCTACAATCAAAGTTTGCTAACTTAAAAATAAAGTTTGTTGACACAATGAAAGTATGATGATAGAACGAAAGATTGCTAGTAAAGGAAAGTTTCCTGATCAATCAACCAAATTGCGCTGTTCTTAAATCTTTAAATGCTGCCAGTTGCAGCTGAACGGCCACAGTTTTTAGCAGGCGGTAATGTTCGTGAGGACACTCTGAGTCTGACTAACTGCAGTTTGTCCCTCGGATCGCTCCTGCAAACTCATCCCTTCCCCTCTGTAAGACTCACAGTTAGATAGAGTACTCCTCCAGTTGTCAATACCTCGGCACACTCTAATACCGGTTCTCATGAAAAAGTTATCGTACAAGATTGGGTTGATGAGGGAGTTTATTGGGAGGACCACGATAGAGAAGAAGGAGTAGTAAGGGGTGGCGTTTATTTTGTTTGTGTAATGCAGGATGCAAATTATTATGAATGGGGTCCAGCAGAAGAAGTCAGAAATTATAATGAGACTGATTTTTCGTTGAAGTGCTCCAAACCTCCGTGGCACACCAACCTTTGCCGCAGATTTTTGGGAAAGTAGGTGAACTGAAAAGTAGGAAAGAGCTACAACAACCATGCAGATAAAGTTAAAGATGAGTATAGCCCATGAAAATGATCTTTGTGGATCTTTAGGATCGACAAAGTACTTGAAGATACAGGATCCACTGCTCCCGTAGAACCCCAAGGTGCTGAAGACTAAAGTTTCCTCTGTGCTGTCTTCTGGAAATAGGAACATTTTGTTTAGGAGACTCTTAATAGCGTTGATATCGGTCATATTTTCAGTCCTCAAATTGCTAGGGTAGACATGATCCAACAGTTTAGCATAGTCCTCATTATTCTTTGGGCTAAAGTAGAGGTTCGTCTGCGGGATGTAATAGCCGTTGTAGAAGTAACCCGCTCTCAATGTGGGATTTGTTGGAAGTGCCGCTATCAGAAACGAAGCAATTGTGATCACACCTGCGAAAATGACAACCATCAGGAGGAAACACCGGCTCAAACCACGAGACGGCCCTATCTTTCTCATCGCAACTGCTCGGTAGATGCTCATGGCAGTTATGGCAACTACCGACAGTTGAGAGCCGAATGTTGAGATGACTCCATAAACTCACAGCGGGATGATGTAAGCCACTCGTTCTCTTGCTCGCAGAACTTGTCGTTTATTGAAATGTTTTCAATGCTGATTAGGATCATGTATAAGCCCAAGAGGAAATCACCAAAAGCAACCAGTGAAATGAGAACTGTTACTGTAAATTTTATCTTGCTCATGTCTTTCTTTTTAGACAGCTTCCTTACATTCCTAAGGAGCACTATAACGTTCAATGAAGCAGCAGGAATGCCAAAACACCAAGCAAAAATCTGGAGGTACACCGAGGTTATCAGTCTCTTACTATGATTTTTACAGTCTGGATTACATTCATCCGCTGAATTTGAACAGTGTATGATACCATCACACTTCTGCGAAGCTTTAATTATCTCCTGTTTTTGTCCATCACATGAGAAGTGGTTGCCACAGTGTTTTTCATCAGAATTATCTCCGCAGTCGTTAATCAGATCACACACTTGGCTGTAGCTAACACATTGCCCATTGGCACATGGAAATAGCTCTCTGTTTATAAACTTAGATCCGTTTTTTGCGTCGGGATATTTTTCAACAAATGTTAGTTTGTTGTTCTTTGTCAGGGTTAGAGTACGGTCTTGCAGCAGGGTTCGGTCCATTTGTACACATGATTTGGCATGATCAACTTCGTATAGTTCTAGGGGACATACTATATCCTGTTCAAGACACAATCCAAGACACGCTGCATACACATAATTCTCACCGTATCTGTCTGTGCAACTCAAACTGCTTGAGCTTGGTGCTATGATCCTTATTGGCAACGTGCCATAGGATTCTTCTAGAATGTACTCTTTGCAATCTTGTTCCTTAGACAACCCAGGAGTACATGGCTGTACATATTTGTACAATTTTGTTTCATCTGTAATTGCATGCACTGTTACATCTTTATCCCGTGCTAGTTTGCACAACCAGACCATGCCAGACGATGGACCTAATTGGCAGTCATTTTGACGATAACCATCACACATCTTGGTCGTATCCAGAAGATTATCCTTCTTTTGGTTGCCTCGTGTTCACAATAAAACGTCATCGGGCAAGGATCTTCGAATCTCTTGTATGTATAGTGTTCTTTAATTTGGTTCATGCCAACTTTGTATTGACATTTTTTCCATAAATTGGGATCCTCATCTTCTCCACCTTCGCAATCTGTGATGTTGTCCAATACCCAATCTTTTAAAATGGGTAGTGGTTCAGAGGATTCCGTTTCATCTGACTTGTTCCTTATCCTGCGCACGCATGTCAGCTCTGTTTGAAGTTCCTCGCAGTATTTTTCATCAAGTTGGTGTTCGCAATCAGCGACGTTATCACAAAGGAAATGGCGGTGAACGTGACAGTTAACCTCTGGTTTTGCACACTTGTTGTTGATGTCGTCTGTGCAGAGGAGGTCTAATTCTTTCTCGCAAAGCACCGTGTCAGTAAGGTTGATCTTATAGATCATGTCGTGTTCTATATCCTTATGATCACATTCATACCATATTGCCCTGTTTGTGCAATTGATTTGATCTTTTCCGTCCATGCACACACGTTGATCGGTCAGGCGATTGTAGGGTCCGCAGGTCTGGGACTCAAACAGAGTCCTTGTTTCTATAGCGGGTGGGGGTGCGGCTGTATTCTTACGTTTGCAAGACATGGCGGTATCACCACTTTTGCAATTAGTCGCATTCCAATCCTCCTGGTTTTCGCAGAAGCTGAGCGTATTCAGAACCTTGTGATCTGGTAAGGTATGGTTGAAGCAAATGTCTTCTGGAGGGAGCCATATTTCGTGATATTTCATTTTCACGAAGAAATCTGCAGGAGTGCAGGTCAAACCATATGAATGGTGACAATTCACTTCGTCCAATCCATGCAAACAATCAATGATACCGTCGCAGACTTTGCTTTTCTCTACCATTGCATCAGAACCTTCGGCACATGGGACGTTGATGGTGAGGTCACATAGCCCCATGTTAATGTGACCATTTGCGCACTTTTTATTGAGTGAGTTTCTGTTACAGTGATACTCTTCTAGAACCTTGTGACCAGCTATCAGCCCTTTACCTTCATACATGGGTGAGTCACAGACATAGTAGGAGCACAAGGGATAATGGATATCGTTGGATTTGAATTGCCATGTCCCGAATCCGAGGACTGGGACCAAGCCACACACTTGATAGAATCTGCTGTCATTACTACACAGGCTGGTGAATTGTGTCAGTACTGTTGAGTTCAGTTTACCAATTCCATACTTTTCAGGGCTGTTCCAGCATTTGTATTCTGTTTTTTCGTTACGTTGTCTGACAAGCTTTAGAAAACCAGGAGAGTCCTTATGACGAACAACTTTGACTTTAAAACTGGTATCGTCGTCCTCTTCTGGAGAATAGAAATTTTATTGAGAAATCCGATCAAACTAAGGATGTGATGACTTTCAAGTTTTAAAATAATAACATCTTAACAACCTCTAATAATAGATTATTGGTGCGGTAAAACCTGCCATCTGAATCATGATCCAATTCAATCGCACTATTGCTTTTTTGCATTACTGGCTTTTTTGAGGTTATTTGAGGTGATGACCCACTTAAAACTCAATTCGCACACAAACTGACAAACAGTTACTCAACACACGGTTTCAAGGCAGTAGTAAACATTGTGTAAACTGTGTTATAAGTCCCCCTCGGAAAAATACCACATTTCCGTGTCATCACTTTAAATTCGGAAAATTTGCAACATTTATGGTGAACACGGATTTGTTTAGACATAGTTCCAATGTTATTGGGACAATCTTCAAAATAACCAACAGATATATAAACCCTATTACACAAAAACCTACAAATTTGATATGTATTAAGTACAAACTCCAACTTCTAAGAAGTCTTTAAGTCGGACAAATATGAAAAAGCTTACCTAGTAGGTCTGCCCCAAGAAATAGGTTGATGAATACAACTACCAAGTTCAGCTTCACAAGGAACATTCTAAACAGTAGTTTATTATTGTATTATCTTAAAGGAGTAAGGATAGGATAGAATAATTACAGAAATTGGATGGTCGCAGTGTTTCCAAGTTCTCTGGACAGCTCAATACATCTTAGATAATTGTATCTATCTTATAATAATTATTATCTCTATTAGGAAGTGACCGGATATCCGGTTCCTGTCCCAGTCCGATTTTAAAACTGCTTAACCGGATATTAACCGGAAATTTCAATACAAAACAAAAGAAAAAGCATTGGGTACCCTACATAAACTAAAAGCCATCTCAAAATTTAAACTTTCAAAGAACCTTAAAATCCGATTGTTCATTGCGGCTTGCGAATTGGTACTGCTCTACGGATCAGAAACCATGCATATCGTATGGTGCTGGGTCATGGAAGGACAAGGTCAGCAATGTTACTTTGTATGTTAACCTACCAAGGTAAGAACAAATAGCGAAGCAGGAGACTAAACATGGCGGGAAACTGTAATGGTTGTGTTTTTATGACCCGGAAATTATAACCTATAAGGCAAGTTCAGTGGTAAAAGTACGACGAAGTATTTAGGAACTCTTAACTGTCCCTATTCTTACTATATATATAAAGCGAGACGATATATTATATTATAGGCATAAGATATATAATATGTATTATATATAATAATATATCCGTACCATTTTACTGGCACCACGACATCACCACGTTCCGCAAAAACCTTAAAAGATATAAAACTGAAACTTTTTTGACTGGGTCAAATGCCTTAATGGCCTTCAAATCAGCATGAAAAATGAAAAAATTGACCAAGGAATAAGAATTTTAGTGCCCAAAATTTGGACCCCCAAGTGGTGTCAAAAACGCGAATTAAATAGGTAATAATTAAATTAGTCTCTGGAGTATTGACACCATTTTAGGGTTAGACGGGTTCCTGCTAGTAATATCATGTTTTAATGTTTAGATAAAACAGGATTACTTCTGAATTTACAAGCCTCAACATTAAAACATAGCAGAGAAAGATATGATGGTATTATATTCTTAGAATTATCGTTGATTCGTTGTGATGCAATGCTGGAGTGTTGTTCGAGAAGATGAGAGATAATCCAAGAGTCTAAGTTTCAATCTCATTTTATTATAGTCTACGTCAATGACTTTCGTGATGAATTGAGTGCTTAGTGCAGTTGTCACCATTCTGCTATACCTGTATACTGTATAGACAGTATAGTATACGCTACCCAAGCATTAACCCACGCTGTTGACGATTTAACAAATAACGCTGCTATTATCAATAATCATTAATCAGTATTTACTATTTACTGCAATCAGATACCGAATGAGTTTCAAAAAGTTACCATTAAATCTTTGCAACATGGGCAGAATATGTTGTTCATCATCAGTACCTAATAAAGATTAGTAGTTAGTACTCTAATAAATTAAAATTAAAATTAAATAAGAACAACTCTGATTCACAAAAGGATGGACAACACTCTGGTGTTGGGGTTATAAAGCCCCAACTAGCAGTAAAAATTATATCCCTGCATAAATTATGGGATAATTTAGGACTATTATTAAAATATTTATTTTCAAATAAGAGAGGCAAACCAAAGGGATCACAAGAGTTAATACCATACGGTTTCAAATTTCTAAGTTTTTGAATAAGGGGGTGTTCGTTAACTTATAAATAACTAGGGCTAGACTTTTTAAGGATAAAAAGTAAAAACGTTATAATATGATGCATCAAAATCAGATCTATTAGAAAGTTTATGTTGGTCTACAAGGTGTGCTGTTAAATTATAAGTATGCTTATCATCTTTAATGACATCGTCCCTATACTTTAAAGAAGGATATTTTGAAAATCAGCTCTTTGATCAGCTACTCTTTCATGGAGAGTTCTAACAGTGCGACCAAGTACCAACATTATTATAGATGCACCTTTAGACTTGTAGATAAGCTCAAAAACCTTGCCTTCTTAACTATAATAATCCAAGTCGCCATTATTATTAGCTCGGTGACGCAAGCAGAATTCGGACGGTGTAGTTCTAACATCCATTGCACATTAATGGTATAATTTCCCCCAAAACGTTATACACAATCGAAATTGACGCTAAGTTCGAAAGTTGAATAATTGAATCACTAGTTCGACACGGACAACTGCAAGCAAATGCAATCAATCGTACTAGTTCCTTTTCTTAAAAGCTAAATTTGCATTTGTTCTGACATACTACTTAATTCAATTAAAATTCAAAATAACTAATAAAATCCACTAATACTATTTTGAACAACTGCAAAGGAGCAACGTAACCATTTAAGCCTCTGGTCTTCTACATTGTCATCATCGCGTTCAATTTTATAGCCTGAATCACTGTCCGGAATTTCGCTACTTCCGTAAAATTTTAGGAACTGAAAAATGTGACCTATTTCTGAAGTCGTTTTTACTATCATTAGAAAGACACTATTGGAAATAATCAGATGGTGAGATATGGAGTTGTTCACCAATCGTAGACCCTTTCTCTATGGTTTGAATTAACTTACCCAATTTGATCGAACTATCTGAACTATCAAGTCGCTAGATTTGTCGCTCATGTAAACGCAAAGCAAACGCATAGTAAACGCAAAGTAATATACTTCAAACAACCTTTTAAATTACACACCAAGCTTGAAGCAGGAAATCTAAACGGCCGTTTAACTAAACGGATCAAACACATCTTGTTTAGTGGATCAAAGTTTTTACTTCAGACTAAGTAGCATGCCACACTTAACTTTGATCTTTTGATGATGTTCTCCACTTCCAATAAAGCAATAATCTGGCCGATGTGAAATGTCAGTATTCGAAATGTTTGCAATACTGACATTGTTATTAATGGTAGTTAATGGTAGTTAATGGTAGTTGCATCCCCTCCCCCCTGTATCACCGAATATCATATTAAAACCATTAAAAGGTAGGTACAACTTTTTCTAAAAGAGTAAAAGCCATTTAAAATCTAATTGTTTGAAGATTGCAAAAATAAAGTTCAATAAATAATTCCAATCCTTTTAGCTCTGTTTTCATCGCAGCAAAAATATCGGGAATATTAAAACATGCATTTTCTTTAAATAAATGACTATAATATTATAGGGGTCATGGTAGAAGAAGATCACTTTACGGCAAATTACTGACAATAAAGTGGTCACGTGTTTCACTTCATATAACTACCCCCTCGCTAAGCGTGAGCGTGAGGCGTCCCCACAGCACACCACTGAAATTTGTCGGCCGCTTTTAAGGAGTGCGTATAAATGGAGGGATGCATTAACTGGGTTACAAGTCGAGCTTTTACAGTGAGAGAAACACAAATGGAAAATACTTCCCATGAATATGGGGAGAGAGAGAGCTCTGTACTGTCTCTCTCTAACTGGGATATACGGTAACCGGTGGAGGGTAAATGTTTTTGTCCTCAAATAGACAGTAATGGAGTTAGTGGGTTGTAACGAAACTATTTAGCGACATGTTGTGTTAGAGAAAGGCGTGCTTCGAGCATACCCCAGAATGCTGTACTTTTACGGTATTACAACAAAGATTTACTCAGGAAATAGATGCTATAGGATTTTTAGGACCTTAACAGATTAAACACAGGTTTGCTATACGTTGGGGGACTGCGAACCCCATGATGGTACAGGTTTGCTATACGATGGGGGACTGTGTACCATGATGGTACTACTCAAGTGAAGAGTGGTACCATCATGACGTAATAAGTTAACAATTAGAATTAGAATTTAGAAGAATATCGTATCCACGTATTAATGAAGCCACGTACTAATGAACCAGCAGAGAAACTGCTGTCAATGTCGCTTCCTCTCCACATTACGTGACGAGTATTTATTTTTAACCATTTCTGTGATAATAACCGCGTAACCCACGCTGTACCGAATGTTCTAGATTAACGATATGAAGCTTAATGATCTTAAAGCAAATCGGACACTGCAGTTAGCAGTATATTGTTGAGGGGACAATCTGGAGGAAAGAGGCGTGTGGATAACCTTAACAATGATAATACACTAGAATAACTAGTACTAGTACTAGTACTGCTGTACGGGGTACTGCGCAGCTTTAGGTGTAATATCATTATTATCTAGCATAATTATTATAATATAAGTACATATTATTATAATGTACAGGGGGGGGGGGGGGGGGGGGGGGGGGGGGGGGGGGGGGGGGGGGTGGGGGGCAAAAGTTAATGCACATACGTTGGGTCTTATACCACCACTGTGTTTCTTATTTGAGACTTGTTGCTTTACAGATGACATAGTTTACCTACTCATTCGAGGATTCTGTCGCCAAAATTTGAAAATTCGGTTTTTAGGGGCCACACCCGATCAACATTGAATTAATTATACTCGTGTTTGCGAACATGCTAGAAAATTCGTTTTTTGACGATTTTTTCAGGTCCAAGATTTTCAAAATCAAATAAAAAAATTTCTAAGGGAAAAATTCTGGCCCAACAATCTCTTCTAAATGGTCCTTAGTACATATATCCTGAAAGTTTCAGAGTGATTGCTCAAAAAAAGTAGGAGAAGATAGATTTTTAGACTCGATTTTCAGGGCACGCGATTGAAAATCGCTCGCGTGATACAATTACACATAAGCGCTGACCTTTTACCCGCAATAATTTCGGCTGGGAACAATATTTTTCCATGGGACTAAAAACAGCTGATAGATATTACTCCCCTCTATCAGAAACAACTGTAAAGTCAATTTCGAGAGAATTTTGAGGAAGACCTCGACCCCCCCCCCCGGCCCCCTTAAGCGTTTTGTGTTATAAACTCCTCCGGGATACCACTAGGAGTAATTTGTAATTCGTTATCGGGATACCACTAGGAGTAATTTGTAATTCTTTATTGAGAGATCATGTATAATTAACTCAATTATATTACTAAATATAAAACTAAGGTACTTTGACGGTTGAAGATTGCGTTATATTTTCAAGTAGTTCTTCAATCTGAATACATGACCGTTGAATAGTTGAATGAAGAAGTTCATCTTGGCAAGCAAAATAAATGGAGTCGATAGACGATATATATTGTCTCATGAACTAAAGTTGGTAAAAGTTGACAACGATA